AGAGCAAACTTTTAAAATTCCATATCAGCATAGTTGCAAGAAGATGGTTTAAAGAAGAGTTCCAAGAAGACCAGTTAAAGAATGAATATATATTCAGTAGTAATTGCGTTAGAACACATGAAAAACCAAAACCATTTGTAGAAACATTTGGTGAAGGTTCAAGAAGATTCTTGAAAATAAATCCACCAGCAATTATAAAAGATAAAAGAAAAAATTCTGGCTATATTACAGCTTTTGATAAATTTAGGAAGATCACAAATTTTGTAAATGAAGATAAAAAGAAATATCAATTATTAGATAACACACTTGAAGAGGTTTATTTAAAATTAACAAATGAGAAGAGAAATGAGAAAGATGATAATGATAATGTGATCAAAAATCCATTGAAAGTAAAAACTAAAGGACATCCTAATAAAAAAATTATCCAAAAAATTCATTATACTAGATCAAAAAAAAAAATGATAATAATGAAAAAAAATAATATTGTTTATTTAAAAAATTTTTTTATCATTAAATTTCATATTCATTCATGTTAAATTTTTTTTTTTTTGTATTTTTTTTTGTAATTTATTCAACACACATCAATAAAATATCACCGGAACAAAAGTGATCTTTGAGAATTGTCACCATTGAAAATTTTGTACTAATTTGTAGGTTACTGTATATTTCAAAAAAAGAACCTTTCTGTATATAGGATATTCCTATATTTAATGGGTAAAAGGAATAACTTGGTCAGTTATAATTACAAACACATTTATTAATTATATTTAATGGTAAAAGAATAACTTGATCGGTTATAATTATAATAAATACATAATATCTTTTCATTTTATTAAATAACTATTACAGAAAAAAATTAATTTGTGTACATATATATATATTAAAATTATCTATCAGGATAACATACTATATGTTAAATTACAAAAATGGCATCTTATATTGCTTAGTCCTATAATTCGGAGGTTATATGATCAGTCAATAAAGCTCTCGCCATGATTTTCTTGTTTTTCTCTATTTATTCAACGAAAGGATCCGCACAAATTAGCCAATCTAAAAAAAATCCAGAACGTTTATCATTTATTATTATCCCATAAACCGTATTCACATGCCAAAAGTCTTATTTATTAATAATATCACAAGTCACAAATTTGTGACTTATACGATTTAAGTGATAAATTAGAAAATATCAAATTTAGCATATTCTCCGCATACAAAATATGATGAGTGCAGATCGTATTAATGCAACACGATTTATATCGTGTCTTTAATTAAAACCATTTTTTTATTTATAACACGTCCTTAATTAATTAATTCGTCAACCAGCTGTCTTCTTTGTTGTGATGTCATACTTATTTATCCATAACCTATTTATTAAATAATTTAATTTTAGTATTTATGCCTCCAAACCTATTTTATTTCTCTTTTAAATAATCCGATGATATGTAATTAATAATTATCTTTTGAATCGAAAATTAAAAAAATAAACAACAATGAAATGTTAATTCAAACATTTCAAGAAATTTATTTTCTCTAAAAAATATATTTTATTATATTTATTATTATATATATTTAGATAATTTAAAAAAAAAGACAAACATTTTAAACAATTAATTAAAAAACCACTTTTTTCAATGCATAAAATTATTTACAATAAAGTCAAAAGAAAGATTGAAAAGTCAACATCACCTTCATTTCCTTCACCTTTTTCGAAGACGAATAAAACTATTAAAACATTTTTTGCCAACATAAATTTAAAAAAACTAAAATAATCAACTAGTAGTCGACTAAGGGTTTTTTGGACGATTCCAACCTCTAAGCATTCATCAATTATATTTTACAAAACTTGCTTTCCAAGCTTTGTAGATCTCATCTGGTATTGATTAATTAGTTTTAGAGAGATTCATAAAAAAAATAATAATAGTTTTATGGACCCAAGTAATGGTAACATGTTTTTTTAAATATTACTTTTTGTACCTATTTTTATATTAATATTTTATATGATGTAATAATTAAATTAAAAGGTATTTCTTTTTCCAAAGGTTAAGGGTTGAACGAAATCAGAAAGAATTGTTATTTTATTTATTAATTATGATATATTCTTGTAAGATCTGGCGGTGTACGATCAGAAGAATTGTTACGCGGCCATATTTTATTATTTTAGAAAATAGGCAGAAAATTCAACGTCAAAATTTCTAGTTGATATATTCTTGTAATAACAATTATACTATTAATTATTAATCACTTTTTTTAGATCTGGTGGTATACGATCAGAAAGAATTGTTATCACATATAATAATAATATAATAATAACAACTAAATTGATTGTATAATGTTATTACAAGAATATATCAATTATGCTGAATTTTCTAAAATAAATAATCAATAATAGATAAAATATGGTCACACTAATATTATTCTTTTCATTGTTTTAGAAGTGAACATGCAAACCAGCCTAGTTACTAATAAGATCAGATGACCTCGAAAAATTTTAAAGAAAAAACAGAAAGTGATTGTAAGAAACTTGTGGATATTCTTCTGATATAATATTCGGATTAAGTTTCAATCCAGATTATTTTTATCTTATGATAAGCTGTGTTTTGCAAAATAAATTCTACAAGAGTCCTCCCTCTGACTACAACCAATAGTGTCTTTCTCATTTTTCTATACTATTATTATGGGTCATGATAAAACAAAATAAAATTTGAAAAGGTTCAATATCAATGTTATATAGTTTTTCAAAATATATAATAAAATTTATTAATTAAAAGTTATATCAACAATTTCAGAGCCTTTAAATAATAAAAAGAATAAAAAAGTAAGATTTATAAAAGGTCTTAATTTAATATTTATTATTATTTTATTTGACTTCTCTGCCAGCCAACTTCTCTCTTTTGGCCATCATTGCTTGAGATTTAATACCCATAATACCACCACCCCATTGTTTTCTATTTTCTTCGAATTTATCATTGTAGTTAAGTTTGATTGAACTAACCAAACTGTTAAGGGATGTCTTATCTTCTTCACGGATATCCACAATAGCTAATGCTGTAGCAGTTTTTTTATGAACAACGGTTCCCAAACGAGCCTTACTCTTAACAATTACGTAAGGAACTTCCATTTTACGACAAAGAGCTGGTAACCAAAGAACAATCTCAATAGGATCAACATCATGAGCAATTATCACCAATTTAGGTTTTTTGTTTTCAATCAAAGCAGTAATATGATTGATACCATATTTAACAACATATGGTTTTTTAACTCCAAGCTCTTTCTTTGTAGGTTTAGCATTAGGATCTTGTTCTTTCTTTGCAGCTTTAGCAGCACCCAATTCAGCAAGACGTGTTTTCTTTTGAATTTTAGTTTCAGGACGATACTTGTTTAACAATTTAAAAAGATTGATGGCGGTATTTTTATCCAAAGTTTTGGTGAATTGATTGATAGCTGGTGGAACCTTAAGACGTTGTTTAAGAATTTTACGTTGTCTTTGTAGGCGAATATATTCAGGCCATTTAACAAAACGAGTTAAATCACGTTTAGGTTGAATGTCTTGACCTGTGTGTTATAATTAAATTAAATTAAATAAAGGCATTTAATAATTATTTAATTAAATAAAAAATCAAACAAACAATTAATTAATAAATAAAAAAGTTAAAGACAGACCTATTCCAAAATTACGAGGTCTTTTTTCGAATAAAGGATTCTTTGCTACTTTTCCCGAATCTTTTTTCTTTGCAGGATAAGGAGCGGGTGCCACCTTTTTAGAACCTTTGGCCTTTCCCTGTTTTATAAATAGGTCATTGAGCAGAACATTTAATTTTTTGTGAGTCTAAATGTTTGCTCTAATATACAAGTTTTTTCAAAAGAAAAACAAGTACGTATAAATAGTCATCAATAATTCCTCGGAATTATTGAGCTTTATTATCTAGAATCCTATAAATTTTGAAGCTATACCATGATGAATTAATTAAAATCCTTTGTATTTTTACAGATGGATGAATTACTCTTGGAGTATATAGTAAAAAAAAATTTTTTTAGGATGAATGATGATTAAAAAATTTTTTATGTTACACGCTGTTTTAAGATCGGTGATATAATAGAAAAAATCAAATTATAAGTTAAAAATTCTCAGAGCACTTGCATGGAAGGAAAATACTCAGACCCAAAACTATTGCGAGTATTACCTTATTTCTGACAAAAATCTAACTTTCACTATTATCAATAATATTGCTACTAATAATATTGTATCTTCTTTGTTTTCATCATCTTTGTCATCTTCAGTCCTACCTCTTCCCTCTTTGCTTTGTCAATCCATTGCTGGACTGCTATAATTTTCTTTTCCAAGATTTGTTTTTCATTTGTAGAAGTTTTTTATTGTGGAAGCAGTAACTCCTTTTCTCACTAAAGGAAAAATCAGAATCCAATCCAGCCTTTTTATCAAATAATTGCTTTAAAAATCACTCCATAGATTTTCAATTTCTTGGAAATATTTTTTTTATCACCAGTAAGTTTGTTTTATTTATGAATTGGTGTTTCCTTGGTTCTATTTTATTGATTTTTTGATCTATAATATAGAGTTGATTTTTGCAAGTTTTATAGTGAAGTAAGAAACCAATTAATATTCCACAAGTTCACTATTAAAAGTAAACATTTTTTTATAATGTTGTTATATTGTAATCAATTTAAACTTGGATCCACTATGGTATGTACGAAAATGTTTTATAGCTCATATAATGCCGAGATATTCTAATTCTAATTCTGTTGTTTCATAGTTCTTCTCTGCCGGTCTTAATTGTCTACTAGCATATGCAATCACTCTTTCATTTCCTTTACTATCTAGTTGTGAAAGAATTGCTCCTAAAGCAAATGTTGATGCATCCGTAGATAAGATGAATGGTTGCTTCCAGTTTGGATATACCAATATAGGCTCAATGGTGAGTTGTTCTATCAAGTCTTCAAAAGCTTCTTGTTGTCTATTCGTCCAATTAAATTCTTCGCCTTTTTTTAATAATTCCATTAAAGGTGAAGATCTCTTTGCAAATCCTTTTACAAATTTCTATAGTAGTTACGGAGTCCTAAGAAACTTCTAACTTGAGTGATGTTAATAGATTTAGGAAAGTTCTGCACCTTCTCTATCTTTGCTGGATCCATCTTGATCCATCCTTTCCAACTATATGTCCCAAGAATTTCAACTCTGTGTTTCCAAATTGACATTTCCGTGGGCTGAGTTTAATCCTGCTTTTTGGATACGTTCGAAAACGTTTTCTAGATGTTCCAGATGTTCTTCCCATGTCTTCGAGTAGATGTTGACGTCATCAAGGTATACTACTACCGACTTCTCTGAAAAGTTCCAGGAGCATTTGTTAATCCGAAATGCATCACTGTAAATTCAAAGAGTCCATGGTGTGTGATAAAAGCAGTCTTTTGGATATCTTCTGGCTTCATCTCAACTTGCCAGTATCCACTTGCTAAATCTAAAGACGAAAACCATTGTGATCCTTGTAGTGTTTCTAACATGTCATCAATTCTTGGTAAAGGGTAAGAACCTTTCTTGGTTTTCTTATTTAAATCTCTATAGTCAACACAAAACCATAAGTCTCCTCCTTTTCTTTCTATGACTACAACTCCCGAGACATACTCACTATTTGATTCACGAATGAATCCCGCGTCTAACATTCTTTGTATTTCTTCCTGGATAAACTTACTTCTATCAGGAGATACTCTTCTTGGTTGATGTCTAATTGGTCTCGAGTCGGTTAGATCTATACTATGATAAGTCATGCTGGTTCTCCCAATGTTGGACTTCTCCCAAGCAAATATATCATGGTATTTATACAACAAATCGGAGAGTTGTTGAGTTTGTTCTTCGTCGAGTTCTTCCCCAACATCAATTGCAAATTGGTCTATTTCTTTTTCATCTTCGGTTCCGTCATTTAGATTGCAGGCTTGTATCTTTTCTTCCCAGTTGCATCTACATCTTTGATGGAAACCTTTACATATTTGTTTGCATCATATGCGTCGGAAATGATTATGATGGTCTTCTTCTCCACATTCACATGGGTAGTGTCTTCCTTGAAATATGTGCCACTCCTCCTTCATAGTCGTAAGTGGTCTTTCAACTTTTTCCATTGTGAAATTGTATGCTTCTATGATTCTGGGTATGTGTCATCATTATAATTGGTGTCTTCTTCTTTAGTTTCTTCTTCGTTTTCTTCTTCTTCATCTCTTACTATTGGGGGTATTTTTCTGAAGTATTGTTCCGACATGAATACTTCTAATTCTCCATCTGTATCTGAACTTTCATATTCTGACGAATCAGATTCTTCTTCTTTTATTGTTTTATTTAAACAGTCTTCTTCCCAATGCCCTTTCCTTTTACAGCGGTTTCAAGATGGTTTTTTTTTTGGAAAATAAATTCAACCTCTTCTTCAATTAATCCTTGGACTCTACAGTTTCTCTTAATGTGCCCTTGAATCCCGCAGGAATAACGCTTTTGTTTAAATGAGGATTTTTAAATGACTTTTCTGCCTCTTGATAGTGTAACTTGAATAGTTGGTTTGGATTTTCAGTGAAATAGTTATAAACCAAATTGATAATTCGAGAATCTTTTATAGTTCCTTGAAGAACTTGTTGATAGACACGTTCAAAAATTTCTGATTTAATTAATTCAATATTGTATTCTCTTAATTGCGTTTATGGTTTCTTGGATAAGAATAAAGAGATTTGTTTAACCTCGTAAGGTAATAAAATAAAAATAAAAACGAGATAAAATAATTAACCTCAAAAGATAATAGAATGAAAAATAAATTGAAAATGTAAAAAAAAAATAAAGAATTAAATAAAATTGTGCAATTGAAAAGAATTCCGCAGAATTTTGATTATAGTTTATCTTCCTTGGTGTAAATTTCCACACAACCCGCACCAAGTTGTCACCGATGAAATTTGGGAGAACGTGTTTTAATGGGTGATAACAATTATTTTTGTTTATGTGCGGATCAGAATGAATAGGTTATCAACGAATTGATTTTGTTATTAGCGAATAATTTTGTTTAAAGAAGATAGAAGTTTTAAATAAAATAATAATAAATAAATAACTATGTAGTTAATTAGTAAAAACGTCTTTTTTATATCTTGCACGAAAACCAGTCTCATAAATTTGTCGATCAGAATTTAATTAATCTTAGTAATAATAATTTCATCGTGACGTTTTTCCTTTTTTGTTTATATATATATACAAGTACAAAAATAATAATCTTTTTAAAAAGAAAAACAAACTTTTTAAAAATAATTAAAAGGTTTTTTTCGAAGAAACAAACAAGTTTTATTTATTTGTTATATGTAAATGTTTTGAGACTTTTTTATTAGAATTACATGGATAACGTTGGAGGTATATATACAAGTGTATTTTAATTTTTCCATGAAGTTTTTCACTTTTTTTACGTTTGAAATAATTTATCTTTTATAAACATATCTTCAGAAAAAAATACCACAATAATTGAAATTATAAAAGAATGGGATACCAACACATTGATAAATTTTTTAAAAGCACAGAAATATTTACAAATCAACGAAGATGATTTAAAATTGCTTCAAGATCAAAAAATAACTGGCTATAATTTTTTTTTATTGAAAGAAAAACATCTTATAAAATGCGGTTTGAAAACTGATCCAGTCCTCACATTGTGTAATTTAATACAGGTACTTAAAAATGGTTAATATTTTTTTTTTCATTATATATATACATATATATAATTAATTATTTTTATTTATTCATCATGTTTATTAATCATTTATGCTACATAATTATTCACAGGAAAATTTCTGCAAGATAGCATTATTCCATAAATTAAAGAAATAAAAAAGTGGCCATATCCATTTGTTAGATATTTTACGAATTTTTCATTTGAAGAATGGTCATTAAAACATTATGAAGAATGGGTTATTGTAAATCATGAAAATTCCAACAAGAGCACATATAACCAAACATTTTTTAAAGCCATTGAAAAAATTTCAATGATGATAAAACTAGTGATGTTAGCCGGCTAATAATCTGCATGCATAATTTCTAAATTTGGTAATAGATTTCTGCGTTACTTTCTTGTTATAGAAATCAAATTACCAATTTAGGTAGTAAACGGCTTAGCCGGCTAAGGATTTTTAAACGGCTAACATCACTAGATAAAACATTACCTGAAGTATGCAGAATTGTTTCGCACTTGAAAAAAAAGGTAACAAAGTTCAATTTTATATGATGAGAATTCTCCAGGTTACTCCTGTTGAAATGATGATATTAGGGAAACAATATTGCAGAGGATGGTCTTGTTGATAGATAGGTTACCCCTTGCTGAATTAATAACAGAGGGATTTGCTAGTATTTCCAACAAGGGTGGGTTATGTACTCAAAAGTAGCTGAATTAGATGCTTGTCTCCTGGATATGTTCTGGTGGGCATCATTTTACCATCCATTGCAAGATGTATTTTCTAGATGTTATTTAGGTGTGCTTCCTGGATATATTCTGGATACACATTGACTAAATAGACATTCATTCCTATATCTGTAAGGAAAAAAAAACAGCTGATTCTGGGAGTACTTGGACATTCTCATCTTTGTTGAATATTTGTTTTCTTGTTTAATTATTAATATTTTCTCTATTATTATGTAGCCAAATGTTGACCAAGCTAAAAATAATTTTTTTGATGATCACAGATGAACTTATGAAAGCTTAATAGATGGTGACATATCTATTCTAATCAACTTGTACCTGGTGTATATGAAATCAAAACCTTTGAGATCACTAAAAACTGCAAATGAAGCAGTATTACTAAGGTTGCTTGCCGAAACTCCTCCAGAAATCAATCAGCAGGGTTTCAGCAGGTTACACATTAATTGTTTATTGGAGTTTCAGCAGAGTTCTGCATTTTGAGGTTCCACCATTTCAGCATAGTTTCAACAGGATTTTTGATAAGATTTAATATAGTTTTGCCATGGTTTCAGCAATTACTAGGGAGGTTTCAACCACAACCTTAAGTATTACAGACAATTTTTGAATTGCTAATTCCAGAAAATCATTATATATCAGAATTACATCTGGTGATGAATCCAAAAAAAGAATACGGAGATGAAAGATATGGCTTTATCAATATTTTTGTTAATGGTGTGAATTTAAACTGAACATTATGGAACACCATTGTGTCATTGAATATTATACAGTGAACCCTCTATAAGTGCACCCCCCTTGGGAACATAGTGCTATTTCTTGTGAGCATGCATTTATGGAGGGTGTGCATTTATGGAGGGTGATTTTATAAGCTCTCTATAAGCTTGGGCCATGCATTTATTGGAGGGTATACATAGTGCATGCATTTAGGGAGGGTGCATTTAGGGAGGGTTCACTGTATTAGAGCTAAAATACATTTCATTAATTGGTTTTATGAGTGCTACAAGGGCTACATGGATAAAAAATCCCAATTATATTGAAATGGGTGAGCTGATGCTTCAGGTGTTCTTGATGATTGAATTAAATAGAAAAAAATGGCAATGGGAGATTGGGAGATTTCCTTGTAGTATCATTTGGTTCTCAAAGAGGTGTATAAATATTGAAAATATAAATGTAAATTTTTTTATAGTTTAAAAATCAATAGCTTAGCTTCTGGTTAGATAGATTATAATTATTCACATTAATATTAAAATAGTATATATAACAAAATCTAAAAATTCTTGTTTAATAATAAAAAATGGGATTAATATCTATTAATAAAAAGTCTCATTTTCTGAATCCAGACATGTCCATATAATTCTTTATTATTCTTTCATATCTCAAATTTTATTTTTTTATATCAGACATACTTTTATATCAAATCAAATTTAATAGCTAGCTGCATTCATATATCAAAAAAATTTTTTTGTACATATTGTATAAATATAAAATTTCTATTTAAATGTCTAAACATAAAGAAGTTTCACCAACACTTGTATCTCAAGGAATAATTGACTTTAATTTACACTATGGACCTTTTGCTCATCACTAGTGGCATGAAATTTCTACTGAAAATGGCTCAGAATTTTACCCTATTTGTTTAGGCATGACAATTTTAACTGAACTAAATAGTAGAAAATTTTTGCTTTGTATTATTATGATAAAAGCCAAAGGTTTACACCAGAGGATATGCATCAAGAACTTGTTGAAGAATCTGTTCATAATGCCCAATTTTCTCATGATGAAATTCCTGAGGTAGAAACTATACATAATTGGGTTTCTAGATACTCAGCAGAAATGAAAAAAGATGTAGCTGATAAAATGTTAGCAAATTACAATAAATGAATTTTCAAGTAATTTATCATACAATTATTTTAATATTAACAACTTGCTTTTGGTGTGATCTAATTTCCTGCCCACTGAAGAAATATGATGATTCGAATTTTATTGAATATAACAAGGGTCAAAGGGAACTATTGGATGATTCTCAACATGCTTTTTAAATTTTTCTAATGATAATTTAAATGCTTATCAACATGAATCTTTTTTTATGATTTATAGTATGGCCACAAAAACAACAAAATCATTTTCTTCCATCAACATAGTGGCTTTTTTTCTCAGATGTTCTGATGCAGTAAGCACCATTTTGGCATTAATATACTGTAGATATATAAATTTAATTTTTTTTCGAGAAGAAAATTTTACTGATCACTTACATAAAAGTAAATTATTATGCTTTATGCCAAAAAATTAAGAATTATACTTCAATAATGCGAAAGAATAATCCTGGACACCATATACATATGTAGACGATCAACTAATATTTGTATGTTCTCTAAATCATACAAGTATTTAAAAAAAATACACTGTGTTCTCCCTATATATTAAATTTGTTATTAAATGTTGATAACAGTATATATAATCAGGCATTTATTTAGGGATGGGGCGGCTTCACTAACAAACGGTTTGAACTCGGTTTTGAAACCAACCCCTGGTTTTTTTTTTGGAACCGTTCAAATAGGGCTGTGTTGGTCCGGTCCGGTCCTAAAATTTAGGATCGTGGTTCAAAGGGACCGGTTCAAAGACCGGGTTCAAAACTAGCGTTTGCAAAAACTGACTAAAGTAAAATTTCATTGTTTAATGTTACGAATTCCATTTATTATACTTTAAACATAAAATCGTGATTATTTAACTCGCACGTTATTAAATCACTTGTTGAATTATTGACAGAAGAGAGATTTTGAACTGTGTCTAATTTAAAGGGTTAAAACTTCTGACTAAAATCGAAATCCAAAACGAATTCAAATTTTATTGAATGAATGCATTAGCCTTTACTAAGATGGCATTTTGAATCTGGAAAAGATTTCCGAATTGTCAATTTTGAAAATTAGTGCAGTTTTCTTGATTGGATTTTGCAACATATCTACCTCTCTAATTATTGACATCATTTCGACGTGCGCGTTATTTAATTTGTATTGGTCGACAAAGTCGACTAAGTCGACGAGGAACAATAGTAGATTTAGCAGACAACATCGTTAAAGTTGAAAAGCAGACTTAGTCGAGGAAGCAGTCATCTAATGAAACTTTATGTATACAAACTACTCGAATTAAACAATAACTTTTCTTGGATAAAAAGAAAGTAATAACAAGTCTCGACTTGAGAATAATCCAACAATGCCATAAACTATTTGTTAGTAAATTAAACACCCTGTTCATTTTGATCCTCATAACCTATTATTTTTTATTGTCATCAATTAGATTCGCTCTCCCCATCTATTTATGCATTTGGCTTGAACAAAAAATAAACACCCCCTCTTGGGGCAATTCTTGTTAATTGGTTAATTACATTAATCTTATTCCCATTGCCTAACTGCTTTTTAATTCCTTTGTTGCGGAGGATTCTGAACTATCACTAATTATACTAAATTAAACTTCTTTGTGACCTAATTAATTTTCCATAGAAGTAGATCCCACTTTGGTGGAATCAAAAAAAGTAGTTTTATCGAAATTGGCTGTACAAACTAGGATTTATCTAGTAGTTCCTGCACTTAACGGACTTAGTCTTTCGATAGAAAAGATAACAACGTGAAAATAATGTTTTGAAAAGGTGGTATGATTTCTAAGCCAAAAATGGGTTCTACTATATATAGGAGTGGCATTAACTCAAAAGTTGCTTTAATGGTTTTTCAAATATGTTAAAAAAAATTTAATTCTTAGCAGACTAAGCGATTTGCTTAGCCCGGCTGAGAATTGTCCATACTCCTTATGCTCAAGTATTATTTTGTGGCGCTATTTTTTAACAAATTTGAATTATGCTTGGCTTTTAAGAATTTTTATTGTTTGTGAAAATAGATTATTTAATTAAGATAATTTAGTAATTAAAGTAACATATACCACGCCTCATGTTTCACGTCACGTTTATTTTGATTTCCTATAAATTTATAAATTTGATGATAATCTTTTAATGTAACGATGAAGTTACACGAACATATTTGGTTTTTTCCGTTGAATTCTCTTTTTTTTCCATAATAATAAAAAAAAGATCTTTTACTTGCTGAAATGAACAATTTTCATAAAAAACTTAACGAAGTCGGTTTGCAAACAGACCCTGATCCAACTGACGCTGCCATAATTTCGCTTTTACAAGAAAAATATTTGTTCAGAGTTACTTTTCCAACTTTAGGAAATGATAAAGTAAATGAAACATTGAAAATTTCTTCTGATAATTATCCTAATGGCAATAAACTTCAAAAGTCAAAAGAATCGTCACCATTATTTAACAATACAACAACGCCTACAACAACAAAATCATTACATAATAATGCTGATAGAACATTAAACAATGCATCACGAAAGGATTTTATTGGGTCAAGTTCATCTGCTACTAGTGCTAAACCAAATAATTTAATATATGTTCCTCCTCAAAAACGTGTTGAGAATTACAAATATCATAATGAGGATTCTGTTCCATTCACTAAACAGCCTGTAAAAGAGATACAGTTGTATAAAATTCCGCAAAGGTCATCATCCAATAAAGAAGAAAATCATTCAACTACTAATAGAAGTGCTTGGAATGCCGTTCCGCCACAACGACCAATTAAAAATGATGATTTGGCCATTGCTGTTCCACCACAACAACCTGTTAGTAGGGGTGGTACTTGGGATGTTACTACACCACAACAATCAACTAAAAAAAACGATTGGGTTGCATCTGCTCCATTACAGCAATCGTCATCTATAATAGATAGTTGGAATGCATATCCTCAACAACAGCAATCAGCTGGTGCTGCTTGGAATGCATCAACACAACAATCAACACAGCAATCAACCAGACAAGTACCATGGGGTACTGCTACTACTGACATAGCAGATAATTCAAACAATAATAATAGTTGGTTGAAACAAGCATCTGCATTTGAGGAAGAACTAGGCACAAAAAATATTGCTACTAACAATGAAAATACTGAAAAACCACCAAGAGACAATTATAATGAAAAATATTCAAATTACAATAATGGCTATGAATACCAGGGTTATGTCAAAAGAGGTTTGTACAATCGAAATATATACATTTTATTAAAGAAATATATGTGTAGGATTGTATCTTGTTATTAAAATTTATTTTTATTTTTATTATATTTTTTGAATTTTAGATGATAGAAACAATAATTATAACGATTTCAGAAATAAAAGCAAAGGTGAAATGACATGGTACATTTAATTCCTGATTGCTTTATTAAAATTGATTAACTTTTTTATTTTATTAAATGAATAAATAAATTTTAATTTTTTTTTAATATATGTATAATATTAAAAGTTATAAATGTGAGGGAACTGGTCATAGAGTATTTGAATGTCCTTATGATTCAATTAAGAGAATATCCAAAGAGGAAGCATGGGAAAAGATGATGAAAGCTGATGCAGAGAAAAATATTGAAGATTTTAAAGAAATGTTTGAACATTATTCCAAAGCAGCACCCAATGAGACTTTTCAAACAATCGAGACCAACTTGAGAAAAGCTGGATGCAATACAAAAATAATAGCTTTGGAACGAGGGGCAATACCTTTCAGAAAATGTTTGGTTGATCTTCAAGGAAACGAAGAAAAAAGATACTTGGCTGTTTTAACTATGACAGATCCAAACAAACTTCCAAAATCTTCAGGATATAGAGCGGAACAGAATTTCATGTGGCTTCAAGATTCAGGTTTTATGAAAGATGATCTTACTTCACTAATATGTTATAAATGTAAAAAAAAAGGTCACCTTCCAAAAGATTGTCCCGAACCAAGAAAAGAATATAAGCCTACATTTTTAGCATGCCAAAATTGTGATTCTACTGAACATATGACTAAATATTGTAAAGAAGAACGTCATGATTATGAAAATCGAAGAGGTGGTGGTAGACAATCAGGTGGTAGAGAATGTTATAAATGTGGTTCATCAGATCATCTTTCTCGTGATTGTAATAATAGTGACGGTGGCGGTGGTGGTTTTGGTGATGAATCAAAATCAAATTCTTACTATAATAATAATACAAGAAGAGAGTATGGTGACTATGGTAATGGTGGTGGTGGTTTTGATACTTCAAACGATTTTGTTAATAATGAAGATGATTGGAAAAAAACATTTGAATCAGCAAAATATAATTGGGGTGTATCTGAAGATTTTGTTGAAAAAAAAGCCAACTGGTAGTGGTTGAAAGATAATTTTGTCACTCAATCTAACCCCACTTCTACATGGAATAATAATAATACTTCACATGGTGACCATCGGAACAATACTCGTAATGATGTTGTACAAGGTGGCAGAAATAAACTAGTAAGAGTAGTAAGAATGTTATTCGATTGCTTTTAATTTGATAATTAAAATAATTTTATATTATGCTTTTTAATAATATTATTTTTAAAAAAATTATATATAAAAATATACTATATATAAAAAAAGAACTTTTTTTTTAATAAACGTTTACATCACAAATTCATATATGTAATCATAGTGAAATAAAAAAAAAATCAAAATTTAAATTAAGAAATATAGAATACTCTTTGCGTTAAAAATATTAATGAAATGGTGATAACAATATTATTTATTTATTAACAATACATTTCATCAATCCTTTAACAACTGGATCAATTTTCTTCCTTGCAAGTGTTTCATAATCCATCAAAGCTTTTGCTAAGATAATGTAGTTTGTCTTTATGTGTTCTTAAAATATTTGTTAATAATATCAATAATAAATTTTTAAATTGCTAATTCATTTTAAAAGGGTAGGGGCGAAAAAAAGGAGGAAGTAAAGTTCCAATATAATAATAATTTCATTATCTACTAATTTAGTTTTAATGCTTAATTTTTCCAAGTCTTCATCTGAATGAGCAACTGGCTCTACCTTGTCACTCGTATTTCTTTACCACATGTTTAGCATTTTCAGTGGCCTTCATAATAATGGCATAAGATCCTAATGTCATTCACCCTTCTGCACACATCCTGCCATACATACACCAAATATTGCTAAATACACTTTTTAATATATGAATCTATCAACTGTACTGTCTGATTTTTTTTTTAAAAAGGAAATAAATAGACAAATTTTTTCTTAGTAAATAATATATATAGTTGATGAATTAGGTTTAAAAAAGTACACTTACAAGAGCCAGAGCCACAAGGCATGATCGTGGCATTGCAATTTTTTTACATTTTCAGCATTTAAATTTTATTGTCACGGCAATTTGATTCTTCTAACTCTTTATTTTGGTCAAAATTCAAGTTTTTGAATTTGGAGTGGTTACTGACACTCCGTTTAGTCAATTGATTCTAATTACAATCTAATTCTCTAAAATAATAAAATCACTCAGGTCTAATTCACCCACTAATCCTCCCTCATTCACACTCTTTAATACTAACTCTTATAGCTACTGGATAATTGGCATCTAATCACTCACAAGTTGGAACATTAAGTGGTTTCTTTTGATACTTTCTAGTAAGTTCAAACCATCTAGTGTAGCCTTTTCGGAAGAAGAAAAGAGATAGGTTATCATGATAAGAAAAACTCGCAGACTGCTTTTTATATAATTCAGTAGTTGATTATTATAACAATAGAGTCCTTTAACTGGGGGACAATTAAAATTTTTTGAGATGGTCTTCAATTACTACTTTGCAACTTCGCTGGGTAAAATATAATGCTAGTTTATTTTTATTCTCTTGTGAAAGTTATTTTCATTATATATATTATTTTAATGCATCCATAAAAGCTTTATGTTGGTTTTGGACAAGTGATGTCTTTGTATTCATCTTTAACAAATGGGAGAATATTATTATAAAGGTACCTTTGCCTCTTGTAATCCAAAGGAAGTGTTGCATTAAAATAAATGGAATCTTGATCTCTTTTATAATTTCAAAAATATCTGTTTTCAATGAATTAAAGGTCCATTAGCTTTGATAACACCAGGATTAGATGCTTCGAAAAGAAAAAGTTGACATTTTTGCAAAAATAGTTTTGATATCCAAGTATTGGAAACCTTTTTTACACTCATACCATTGAGCTCTATTTAATCCTACTGGGCTAGATCTTTTCACCACATCTACGATATGATTCACACAATCTACAGTTGTTTTTCTGTACAGTTTTTAATCAAGCAAAATTACCATCACATCTACAGTTGCATAGTTCATAAATATATTATAGGATAGACTTTTATAATATTTTTTTTTTAAACTATTTTTTAACGCGAATGATGTTTACCTAACTAAATAAATTAGAAAAATTTTTTTCTTTCTTCTTATGAATGGCGGACAGATTTTTTGAGATTACACATATAATTTATTATTAACCAAAAAATTTTTTTTATATATACAAAAACCAATACCAACATTACATTTTTTCTTATTAAATTAATATTTTGTGTGGCCTCTTTCTGCATCGATACATGCTTTAATCCGGTCTCGCATGCTATTGATGCATCGAAGTAATACATCGTTTGTTTCTTTTTTGCCACCATATCCTTAACCTTTCTCTCTACCTTTTTCTTCAAAACAGCCTATACAATTTCGATAGGATTTATGTCTGGACTGTATGAAGGCCAATGGAGAACTCGTTTCAGAAGACAGTCTTCCAAGTCACTTTGAACATCATCACGCAAAGTGTGTTTCGGGTCATTATCTTGTTGGAAGACCCAGTTATGATCATGCAACACACATTCGCATTATCATATAAATGTTCATTTAAAATTTTTCGATATAAATAGCGATCCAGGTTTCAGTAAATAAATGCATTCCAATTTTTCCCTTAGCGCTGATCACTGCTCAGACATGAACTATATGGATGCTTTACCATAGGTGCAACAGGTTTTGCATTATGAGACCATGAACGAAGGGCATTGCGAAACATCTGGATCAGAAAAGTCAAGCGATTATCTTTTGCTTGTTGGGTGAAACCGAGGTTTTTAAGTTCACGACGTATAGTGCGTCCACTGTTCTCAAGTTCAGAATCATTTTCTTCTAATTTAGCTTTAAGTTCGCCCGCCGTAGTGAAATGATTGTGTTTCAGAATTTTTCCGATACGGCGGCGTTTTTTGGAGGACGATTTTCTTGGACGAACAGAAGAGTGCACTACATGAATTTTGCCGGTTTTGCGCAATAAACTGATGTAACGCTCGCAGAAGCATAGAGGAATCTCCAATTGTTGAGAAATTTCCTTCAGATTGCGAATGTTTTGTTGCCAGAGTAACTTAACAGATTTTCGTTATACTTCAAGAGGGGTTGGTGCCATTTTGAAATGTAAAAACAAGATGTAAACAATATTAAACATCATTGACTAAATATATTCACTGCCTATTGAAGCCTTTTGAAGCATTGTGATTTAGTAAATTATAATTATCATATATATTTTGTTTTAGTGTTATTAACTCTATTATTATTATCCCTTAAACAAAATTCCGTGCTAATCAGCACGGAATTTGGGATTGCGCAAAAAATAGACCACCACAACATTTCTTATTTAGAAAATGATATTCAATGCACCCTGCTTTTGTTTAAAAAAAATTTATCAGGGGTTACACATCCCAAATAAAGAGATAACAACATAAAAGTTCCCTTGGAATTTTCTTTGCCGATCATTTTATTTAAACACAGAAATTCACTTTTTTTAAATCCGGTTTAAATGAATTCCATATCAAAAAGCTTGGCCCAAATTTTTTATAGCCTAAATTGGTCTGAGTAAACTTGTTAATTGGAATGCATATCTTGCGGATTTAGGCATGGGTCCAAAAAATAAATTTTTTTACTAATTGCTTACTTTGATATCTAAAAAAAAAGATCAAAATCGAATATTTGTATGCAAACTCCATACCTTTGCTTATCGAAAAATTAAAAAAAAAACGGTGGTCAATTAGTAATTTGTTTGTCTAGTAGGGGTCTACATTTTTTTAAAAATTCCGTGCTGATTAGCACGGAATTCTTGTACGTTTAAGGGATTATTATTACTATTATAGTTCATTGAAAGATAATATAACAGCTGGTTTAAAAGGAATTTTATCAAGTCGCCAAATAACATATTAACATCATAGAAAAATTTTAATAGTATATATTTATGAGAAAAACTATACTTGACCAGTTAATTAACCTGTTAATATTAAGGTTTCTTGGCTGATTCCGAGGAACAACAAATTCTATATATAAAAAAATATATTTTTATCAGAATTATTATCGCCAAAAAGGTTAATGTGATTCATCTAAATGGCAAGTGAAGATCTCAACATTTTTTATTTATAGAGAGAGATATTAATATTAATATTGGGTAGTATGCACCATATAATGAAACGAAAGGAAATCACTTAATAATGTAATGTGTGGGGGGGGAGTCCTTCCTAATGACAAATTTTCCGCAATGCATGAAATCAGAAATGTGGAACATCAATTTAATATTAGCTTAATATTAATATTAAGCTCTTAAACATTATATTATTATTTATTTATTGTTTATTGTTTTTATATTATTAATTATTAATTAGCGGCAACAAAGAAGAAAAACTAAATTAACAACTAACTTAATTTACTCTAATATAATAATAATTTTTGATAAGTCTTGATAATAAATAAGGGTTGTTTATTATTATAATAGTATTAGTATACATTTAAAGGATACAATCTACGAAATGAATGCAATGCGATGCAATAAAAATCTCTTATAACAAAAATAAAAAAGGAATGGTTAAGGGTGTTTCAAATTTCATGGATGGTAATTGGGTAACGGAGGTAAGGAATAAAGATTCCATTCGGAGATCAGATTTTAATTAGTTAATCTGTTAAGTTATTGTGCTAACATTTGTTTTGATGAGCAACTTGAACGAGTAATAGTTATATTAAATACCTTGCTCATATGTTATCATATATATTACATCACAGATAATTAGTATAATAATTGTTTAATTAAAGTTTATATTTTTAAATTAAAAAGTTGAATTAAACGTTAAAACGGTACCGTTCATTGTGTATATAAACATATTTAGTATTTTTTTTTTTTTTTTTTTCCCTCGAAAGTAAAACAAATTTTATTAATGTAAAAAAAAAAAAAAAAGAGTTTATTGTTAATATTAATAATATTTTCCTTCATTCCTTCCTTCCCTCTTTATTTTAATTATTTAATTTATTCATTCCTTAATCCACAATTTTTGATTTATATTAAAATAAAAATAATATGCCACCTTGCAAGTAAGTAAAAAAGTGCGCGCGATAGATAATTCGAATGAATTATATTAAATATTTAATTAATAATACTATTAATAATAATAATAATAATAATAATAATAACCTCAACAACAACTTATTATTAGTTGGCCACTAGTATTAGAATCTAAAGAATGTGATGGATATGAACTATTTTATACAAGTGGTGTAATATCAATCATATTATATTCAATGTCTTCAATTTTGGTTGCCTGCGCATTATCTTCGAGATTCACAAAGATAAAAAACTTAACTAATTTTTCTTCATTGGAATTTTATTTATTCTGTTCGTTCATATTTTGTTCGTGTAAGTTATTAACTTTATAATTATAATTATTAGGATTTTAACAAATAAAACTAATATCTTTTATTTTTCGATTAACATGTGAAAAAAGTAAGAGTAGTGACCGTATCGTATTCACAAAATTATTTTGTGGCTTCGCCAATGTTTTATGAATTGTTATATTGTGCTTCTTGGATATCAGGAGAATTTGCAACCTATTCGTACGTTTTTGGAATATTAAACACTATCATTAAGCTAAATATGAATACTGTTTCAAAATCTTCATCAAAAGGTGTTGTTTCAAGCCATCACAGTGATGAATATATTACTTATCATAATAACACTTATAATAATAACGATATCCATGCCAGTAGCAGCAATAGTAATATCAGTAATCAAAAAGGAGCTTTTATTCCATCGAAAGGCTTAATCAAAAAATCATTTTTTCTGATTATCACTACTTCATTAATAATATTAATTACATCATCGATAATAAAAGGACATTACGAAGTCAAATATTTTAATTCTACAGACATAATTTACGAAACAACATTGGCTTATAATATACTAACGGTTACAGTTTACTCGATAAATAATTTAATCTTGGGAATTTTATTAACTTATTATGGAAGACTATTGATTAGATTAACAAAGGAAAATTTAATGTTGATTGGATTTGATGATTACGAAGAGTATAATAGCTGCAACAGCGATAATTATAAATATAGCATTAATTATAACATAAATAGAGCAATACTCTCTCAAAAACATGCACGGATCAAAAAAACATTTGAAAGATATATAAGAAAGGTAATTTAAAAAAAAAAATTTTTACTTTTTTTTTATTTGGCGAAAATTTAATCTAATTTATCAAAATATTTTTGTTTTTACAGGTCACAATACTCAATTATTGTCTGATAACATGTTGTTTATCGCCTTGTATCGTTCTAATGCCACTCATTGCTGTATTATTATTAACATCTCATGTTTTATTAGCAAGTGTTATTTTCAATTTATTTACTAATATTTTTCCGCCGTTTATTGCATTTCTAATTTGTTTATCAATTATTATAAGGTAATATAATAACAATGATATTATTATTTTAAAATTTTAACCGTTAAATTATTATTAATAAAATTTAAATTTTTTTTCCGACTAGTGAATCGAACAATAATAAAAATGAAGAAAAAAATATGGGTAAATAATATAATACATATTTCAAGATATATTGAATGATCATAAATTAAAATTAATTAAAATTAATCAATTTAATCAATTTAATCAATTTAATCAATTTTTATTTAGAAAATGTTCAAGAAACATTTGCATCAGATGCACCGTCGTTGACTTTTTCGTATGGTGGAACATGATATATCTCATAATTTAAATTTCTTTCATGTATTAATATATTGAATATATTATAATAAGAATTAAGGGTAGAGTCAGCGACGACATCAATAATATAGAAATTTGTGATTTTATTAATATTAATAAAATTTTAATATGAAGAATACAGAGACTAATATTTTTTAAAAAAAATAGATTTGTATATCATCACTATGTTATATAACTACATTGAAATTTGTTTTGATTTATAGTCACTTTATTAGTAAAATAAACCTATCGACAATAGTTTCTAATATAATCCAAATTACCGGTATAGCAAATGTTTCATATTGGCTTTCTTTTGCGGTTACTCCATCAACATATCAATAATATATATACCAACAATAAATACATCACGACTGTAAAGTACCTAACATTAATAAAAATAAGACCTATTTGTCCTCGAATATCTTCACACCAATTAGATCTGACCATTCTTAACACCATATAAAGGAAGCATATGTATGTATGTGCATTACATAAAACACAGTTCACTCTCCTTATAATCATAACGGATCTTTCTATACTAGGTTTTACTTTATAACTGACTCTATCTCTATGTATACTGGATTGCACTGAAAACCATTTCATATGACCTAGTACTATATATTAAATAAAAAAAATCAAACCTTCGATTATTTAAAATAAAAACACGATTATTTGAATAAACAATGATATAAGACATGGTATAATGTAAATTATATAGAGAACAAAATAAATTGTAATATTAATAATAAAAATATTTTGCAATATTTGAGTTCTATCATTAAAATCACTAAATTGTTTTTTTAAAAAACCAACTTTGATTTTCATATAATTGAATTTTTTGATTTGTTTTAAAAAGATAGGTTTATTTAGCAAAGCAGATAACCCCAATTTCAACAAACAAATTAGTGACAACTTGGTCAAAAAAATATAATTTAATTCAAAATACGACCTTAATTAGACATTGAATAGTATTTTTTTTTTTAATATTAAAATTGCACGTGACTTCATACATTTAATAACGGACGGGTATTTTTCCTTATTATGAATAATGCATAATAATAATAATTATTATTATTATTATTATCGCGCGATCAACGTCAAATATTCATAAAAAAGGAGAAATTGTAAACCTTGAAAGCTGATTGGTGTATTATTTCTGTTTAGGTAATTATATATTTATGAAGAGTAATTAAAAATGTATTAGTGATGACATTTTTTTAGTTCGAGCTTCCTTTTTTGGATTTAAATTTAATCCAGAATTGTAGTGCAGTCAGTCACCTTCAAGTTACTTTCAATGGGAGATATTTTTTGTGATCATTTTATGAATGGAGCCTTTGACAATCATTGCCCATAAGAAAAAATCCAAGAATTTATGATTCAAATAAATTGCATAATTAAAAAATTTTATGTGCATAATTAGCGCATAATTTACTTTTATTGCATAATTGATAGTTTAGTTTTTTAAGTTTTTTCAAACATTAGACTGTTCTTATTATTAGTTCTCAAGGAGTGGCAATTTTATGTAATGCATAAACTTGATTTTTAATCTAAATGTTAGCAAATTCTGCATTCATCGAATATTCACTCATTCAATATTCGTTTGGTTTTTTTATCTTTTGTTACACATGAGCAGATAACAAATGTACGATATATAGATTCATCACCACGTACTACAACAACAATTCACAACGAAAAATAGTATCAAAGATCTCGGATACATTGATTTGGCAATAACTTTTTTCTCCGTTTTCTTTCGTCAAATCCGCACATTCGAATTGACTTCTTAAAACCTCATTTGCTCTTCTTCAGAATATAAACCGCGGCAGAATCCTCCATTATCCTATTATTGCCTTCTTCAGTTATATTGTGGCTAAGGTCTTTTCCAACTTTAAACGGACGGCAATTGAATCAATTAAGTAAGGTTCAAGAAAATGTTGATCAACCATTAACTATTCATTGAATATTAATATCATTTTTAATTATTCAATGAATTAACAAAGATTTAATGAATCCAACCAATGAATATTATTCACCACTAATAAAACGGACGTCACATGTGATAGCACAATTAACCTTAAATTTGTATGTGTATCTCATTTCAAAGAGCATTTTTAGCTTAGAAACCATATCAATTTAATATTTCATGATTTCATATATATATATAGATATTAATATCATAATTACTATTATTATGTCAAAATCGCATGTGACAATTCCGCCCGCCATACGAAATCATTAATTATTGTTTCATTTATCAATAATGATAAAATTATATTATATATATATATATATAGACTAATCATGACAAAACTAGCAAAACCCAATGAAAAGTTTTTTTATTTTATTTTATTAAAAAATATTTACTTTTATGATGGCTGACCAAACAGATGTAGCTATTAAAGTGGAAAAAAAAGGAGAAACGGAGGACAGGAGGACTCCAAGCTTAGACGATTGGACAAATTTAAGAAAAGTATCGGATAAATTACCTGTTGGTCAGTAATATTTTAATTTTCACAATCGAGCGAGTGAACCTCGTTCGTCGTTATTACAATGAACAATAGTAATAGTAAACCCCCGTCACTGTAGATAATAGTAAAACCTTGCTCGTTACAGTGAATGTTTTCTTTTTTCAATTTATTTTTTCATAATTAACGTATGGAGCCGAGAGTTCACTCTGACGAGCTTTGACAGTAATATTTATAGATAAATAAGTACACATTAACTTACTATTTTTTTTTTTTGTATAATAATAAAATCATTTATAATAGGTGCTTGGTTTGTTATATTGTGTGAATTTTGTGAAAGATTTACTTATTATGGAATTTCCGGTCCATTTCAAAACTACATTCAATTTCCACCACCACCACCATCATCTTCCCCAAGTGATCGACAACCAGGCGCGATTGGAGCCGGTCAACAAACTGCAACCTCTTTGACATTATTTTTTCAATTCTTTTGTTACATAACACCTTTATTGGGCTCTGTAATTGCTGACAATTATCTTGGAAGGTTTAAAACAATAATAGTTTTTAGCATTGTTTACACGATCGGATTAACAGTTTTAGTGTTAACATCAATTCCACAAGCTATCGCGTCAAGTGGTGTTTCTTTTATCGGCCTTATCATCTCAATGTTAATCATAGGTTTTGGTACTGGTGGTATCAAAAGTAATGTTGGTCCTTTGACTGCTGATCAATATACAAATACAAGACCATTTGTTAAAAAAATTAAACGAAAAAAAAATGAAACTCTTCATCAGGGAGAGAAACGAGAAGATGTCGTCGATGATGACGAAGAAGAGGTTATAGTTGATCCGAAATTAACCATCCAATCGATATTTCATTGGTTTTATTTGTCAATAAATATTGGTGCCCTGTCTCCATTAATTATCACAGTCATTGAAAAATATCATTCATACTGGCTAGCTTATTTGATTCCAATATTCGTATTCGTACCTTCAATCTTTATCTTACTGGTTAATCGAAATAGATTGATTAAAAATAAGCCCAACAATGTCAAAGCCAATAACAACAATAATAAGATCGAAGGAGAAGATAACAATGCCAATAATAATTCGATTTTAAATTTTTTTAGAATAACAGGATTGGTTATTACATTTAGAAGCACTAATCTGGATAATTTTAAACCATCAAATTTTAAAACATTGTTCACTGGTAGTGATGATGAAAAAGAAGCAAAAGCTAAAAAGTATAATGTAGATTGGTCGGATAAATTTGTTGACGAGTTTAAACAAGTTTTAAAAGTTTGCAAGGTTTTTTTGTTCTACCCTTTTTATTGGATTTGCTACTTGCAAATGGTTAATAATTTAATATCACAAGCTGCTACAATGCAAGTTGGCAAAGTACCAAATGATGTAATGAATAATTTAAATCCAATTGCTTTAATGATTTCTATACCTTTTGCTAACTATGTATTGTAAGTAATTTGAGATGATATTATAATATATATATATATATATATATATATATTTAATAATCTAAATATAATTTTTCTTTAGATATCCAACTTTACAAAGATTTAACATAATTATACGTCCAATCACTCGTATCTTTATTGGATTCATGTTGATCAGTTTGGCTATGGCTTACTCGGCAATAATTCAACATTTTATCTATACCACTGGTCCATGTTATATCAATACCAGATGTGAAATAGATGGTGTACCTGTTCCAAATGATATAAGTGTTTGGTGGCAATCACCTGTTTATGTTCTAATTGGATTTTCAGAAGGTTTTTATTTATTGTTTAAAAAAATTTAATTATTATTCTTATTGAATATTAATTTTTAATCTTTGATTGTCAAAAAGTTTTTGCAAGTATCACTGGGTTAAGTTATGCATACGATAAGGTAAATATTTATATATAATACATACAATATATATATATATATATATCAATTAAATAATAATAATTAATAATAGGCGCCAGAATCATTCCGTTCAACAGTTACTGCTTTATTTTTAACAACAAGTGGAATAAGTTCAGCAATAGGATTGCTGATTGTACCATTGTCAAAAGATCCTTATTTAGTTTATATGTATTCATCATTAGCCGTATGTGCTTTTATTTCTGGTAGTTTGTTATTATGGTTCTTTAAAAAGTATGATAAAGAAGATGAAGAAGAAGAAAAATTATCAAAAGCAAAATAACTAAAAAAAGTATCATAAACGAAGTAATTAAGAAGGAATGTAACTGAAATATTTTATTAAAACTAAATCATGTAATTAATAAATAAATAAATAAACAAATAATTTCTAATATATTAAAGAAAAATTATTCAAGCCAGTTCAAAACCAGTGTTTGAATCTATTGCTATTTATATTTTGTATCATATTTTTGTTAGGATGAAAATTTTAATTGGTTAGTTTCTTTGAATTTAATATTTAAAATCGCGTAAATAAATAAATAATCAATTAATCAAAAATATTTTACCATATTTAAGTTTCTCTTTCATTATAGATTTTGATGAATATGCTTTATTATTTAATTGAAAAAAAAAAAAGTATAATTTTCATTAATTCCAATTTATGATTTGTAATTTCAATAATAGATGTATTATATTTACCTGGCAGCCTTAATAAGTTAAAACTATTAGAAATGATTAATTAATTAATTAATTAATTAAGTTAGTAAGTAGACCATAAAGAGTTTTTTCATCTTTAACAATCATAAAAAAAATGTTTTTTTTTACCATGTGGAACTTGTTGGTAATCTGGCTTTACTTGTATTAGTAACAGAAGTTTTTAAATTGGAGGAAATTGAAGAAAATAAAGATTTAACTTGTCTTAAATTTGATGATAAATTATTATTATTTGGTGTTGTTGTTGATAATGTTGAGTCAGATTCAAGCACAATTGATACTTTACAAATTGTAAATTTAGGAGTTAAGAATCTTTAAGGGAAGATAGATAGGAAATTAGATAGGAAATTAATCAGTATTATGTAATAATAATAATGATATTATTATTGCTATTATCATTGTTGTTGTTGTTGTTGTTGTTGTTTATTAACTTACTTGAAACCACCAAGTGGAGGCTTGATTTGATATTAATAATAATAATAAGTTAATAATAATAAAAGTTTTCAATCAATCAATCAGTTTATTTATAACAAAACTACCTTTGAACAACTTGTAACAAATTTTAATAATGCTTTCTTATCATTGGATTTAAAATCTTCTAAAATTGACCAGAAGTTTCTTATACAAGGATGTTGATCAAAATAACCTTCTTTATACTCTGTACATCTCCTCAAATCTGTGATATCTAAAATCAACAAAAAATTGTTATTATTATTGTTATCATCATCACCATCATCACTATTATAATTATATTGTTTTTTTTTTACCCCAATCATCGTCATCTCCAGAAATAACTCTTTAATAAAAATAATAAAGTTAATAAAGTTAATTAAAATAATATGTTTATTTAAAAAATAAATAAAAATAACAACCTTTGTAATTCTGGCGGAGAGAACATTCTCAACCAATTTTTAGGAATAATCGATTGAAATCTGAAAATAATAATAATGATGATAATATTGTTTACTGATAATTCTTCTTATTTTTATATTGATCAATTGATTAAGTTAATTAATTAATTACCCATTAATAAATGATTCTGTTTGTTCTTTAGTTTGTTGATTTAATTTATAATTTGCCATTAAATAAATATACTAAATGATAATAATAATGACATTAATAACACCATTGATAAATTTAATTAATTAATTAATAAATTAATAGATTAATCATTAACCTGAATTCTATTATCATTTGTAACTTTAATATGTGAGCCATTCTAAATAATGGTATTATATAATTACTAAAAATGATCATAACAATACCAACAAGAATAGCATGATAGCATGAATAACATGAATAACAATAATTTACATGTTTAAGATCTTTTGAAATTATTTTATCATCAATTTCTTCATCAACAGAAAAATATAAACTTAAATCTTCAACATTTCCTAGTAATTAATAATCAATAATAATTGTTGTTTAATATATAAAATATAATAATAATTTAAATTGATTAATTGATTAATCATACCGTCGTATCTTTTCAAAAACATTAAATTCTTCAACAATTCATCATTCAAGCCTGCCAAATCTTCAAGAAATACACCTCTACCAGATAATTTACTTAAAAAAAATCTAGCAAATTGTATATCAACCAATATTCCTTCTTGTATTGATCTAGCCAGCATGCATCCTAAAAATCTGTAAACATTTGCTTTGGTTATAAGCAATGATTTTAATTTAGAATTTTTGCTGTTACTGCTACTAGGATAAACATATGAATTGTCTGGTGTCAAAGAAAATAACTCGAATGATGGATCAAATGCTATATATATATATATATAATATGAAAATATTAACATAATAATAATAAATAAATAATCATCATTATAATATAGTTATTAATATTTAATATTTAAATACTAAATAAAACCTTCTGCAATTAATTGTGTCATGAATTCTTTAAATGGTCCGCCTTGATCGATTCCTTCTTCCGCAATTCCTACATTAAATAAAATAATAATTTATAATAATAATTTTTAAAATCAATCATTTAATTAACTACTCTTGAATCCAAAAATGAATAAAAAGTTTACCCATTTCATTAACAAATTTTACAAAAATTTTTCCCTGAATACGAGCAGAACTCAATCCACCCAAATATTTAAATCCATCCTCAACCACATGTCCTCTTCTAACTTTAACTACTGTGCAATTACTGCTATTATGAATAATTGTTGGGGAAGTGTGTGTATTATTTATCTTTGATAAATATTGACGAAATATATCCAAGCGTGTCTCGAATGGTATTGTATGTGGTAATAAATTTAATATTCTTATTGCTACTTCATCATTTTTTTGAATTCGTTCTAAAAATGATAACCCCATTTTTGAACTATTATCATTACCGTTGTTGTTATTTGAGTTCAATGCTTTTTTAAAAAAATTGGCTAATGATATTGGTAATGATTTTTTTGGATCTTTAATCAACAACCAAATATTATCCTCGCCCTCCTCTTTTACTGCTATCGATTTTACTTTCCAATTTCCCTTACCACCATTATTTTTATAATTACTAATAGTAAAAGAACGACGTGTGTCTCGTGAGTGTAATTGAAGTAAAACTCTTCTCGCCAATTCAAACATTGGTGATAATGAGTAGTTTTCTGATGATGTTGTTGATGATGATGACGATGACGAATAACTAAGAATCAAGAAACAAAATTTATTAAAAAATCTAACCATTGGAATCAAGTCGATTTCAATTGAAAATGGAGTTTCTAATTCATAAAGTTCCTCATCGTCTAATGTTCTATTTTAAAATAAATTAGTCAAATTAATCAAATTCTTTTACAAAAAAAAATTTTTTTAAAAATTTAAATAATAAATAATAATAAATTACTAACAACAATAAAATGTTACAACATTCACAAAATAATTCTAAAATCTCAATCATTGGCTCTTTATCAGGATCACGAACAATCGATTCTGTTAAAAAAATTTTCATTTTTTGTTTTGGTCCTAAACTTGACAAAAATCTCCATAGGCAGGGAACAAAATTTGGTAAATAAGTTAAATTCATGATGATTTCACGTTTTAGTGAATTGAAGATTTTCATAAATAAATTATAAAATTGACAAACTGATTGAACATCAATTGCCATTAAGGTAATTTGACTTGATGCTAAACTTGATTTTTTTTCGTTGATTTTATGTTTTTTAATCGATGAACTTTGATTGCTGGTGGTGGTGGTGGTGGTGGATGATAATAATAGAGAAGATTTAAAGCTTAAAATTTGATCAAAAATTTTATATAAAAAAATTCTTTGCCAAAAAATTTCAAGCTGTGAAACTAGTCGAGTAAAATAATCATTACCACTTCCATTACTTAAAAGAATTGAATCGATTTTTCCAGCATACCAACTAAATATTGGATGAAAACTATTAAATTTAGCTGACTGTTTTGAAGAAATAAATTTCTGACAATGCTGAAGTAAATTATTCATAGCTTTTATAAAATCATTTTTTAATTGAAGACTCTCTTGATCATTATATAAATCTTTACTACTAGAAGAAGCTGGCATTATTGAAAAAAAATCTAATTTAAATAAAAATAATTCAACAATATTGCCCAATAAAAAAATCGCATCATTTCCTGTCAATTTTTCAAATACTTTATTATTATTATCTTTATCAACATTACATAAAACTGAAATAATCTTATTGTGAATATTGTATCGTTTTAAAATTTCCAAACTAGCATTATCTAAAACTGATACTAGACAAGGTGTGCTCATAACATATACTGTAAACAAGCCTTTTAAATCTTTTTCTGAAAAATTTATTTTGTTTTTTTGATTGTTGATATTATTATTACTAGCACCATCATTAATAATGACCTGATCCTTACCAATAATAATATCATTACTAGCATTGATAATATCAAATGGAAATAAACAAAATCTGATGCATGCGGTTATCCACAAAATTGACAATTGTAATTTCTTTTCATCTTCATCGCCAAGTTTCACAACTTTTTTTAATCTATTTTTCAAAACCATAATTAAATTTACTCGAAGAAATAATGCCTTATTGAATTTTTCATAAAAGCCTTCTTTTATTAAATATTCCTGAATTAACAAAAGATTTTTTGTCAATAATAAAGTCAATGATGATGGTGATGTTGTTGTTGTTGTTGTTGAAGCTGGATCCTTGATTAAATAATTCTTTGAATCAAGAAAATACAAAAGAAATCTTAATTCTACTCCTGAAAGATATAATTCTTTGTTGTAATAACTATTATCATTCTTATTACTAGTACGACTACTACTTATATTTACATTTGATTGTTTATTCAAATACCCAACAACATAATTGACAGATTGTAATGTTGTTTTTTGTAAAATTTTCAATGTTATGTTACTATAATGTTCATTAAGTAAAAGGCAATGAAAAGGTATCATTGGACTTTTATTTTGTTGTTGTGTGGTTTTTGAAGGTCTAATTGATGTGACAGTTGACAAAATCATTTTGCAAATCTGTTCAAATCTTTTAAAATCTTTATTTGGATCAAAAAAAGCAAACAATAAAACAGCAGATCTAAGAATGTCTGTTGTTGTTATTGTTGCAATTTCGTGTTGTTCCCCTACTAAAAACTCATCATCCCATAACTTACGTAAGTTCTCGAAAACTTGGCTTTTTTCTAAACGTTTTCTACACAAAACTTGAATACATTTAGCTGCTTGTGTCTTTTCTTTTTCAAGCTTATCAAGTTTTCGTTGTTTTTCTCGTTGTTCTCTTTCTGCTCTCGTCTTGTCAACAAACGATTGTTTTTTTTCATTTATTGAATTGAATGGAAACATCCTTGTTCGTTCTCTAATACTAATAATACCTTAACATTAACACACGGTTACACATTACTATTCTCGGACTAATTTACAATGAAAAATATCTCGGAAATTTTTTACGCAAAGTGGATATAATTTCTACTCCAAAAATATTATAAGCATATAATGGCGGCATTAACCAAACTTACTTTTTTTCACATTATGGTTGTTTTCTATTGACTCAAACAATTACGGGAACCCTCAAAGTCTTCCATGTTGTTATTTAGCGTACTTTGAAAAATGAATATAATAAATTTGTAATAACCTGTTGAAGAAAAATGGCCAATCTGGCCTCTACACCCGAAGGGGCACACAATGAAAAATCTAGAATCTCAGGACTATGATAGAAAATTCATAGGGGATGTGGGTGGAGAAAGCAATGGATTTAAGAATTTCCATTTGAGTTCTTTTTCTTTTAAGAGATCATGTTGAACGAGCGTGTTTCAACCATGCCCAGGAAGCAAATTCCTGTTATCAACAATATTCTACAATTGGGGAGTTTAATGTATTAAAAAATCTATTGCTGTTACAAATTATTATACAGTCAAAGCTCGTTATAGATCTGGCACAGTAAATTTATGAATTTATCGAATTATGCCATTATCGAAAGTCGTTTTTTAATTTCATGAAAATAGTATGACATTGTAGAAATTTTTTCAAGATTTTCGATAAAAAAATCCCAATTATTATTAGCTAAAAGCTCTTGGCAAATTCTACTTTTTTCAAGAAAAGATTAATTTTTTTTGTTCTTTTTTATTAACTGAGTAGATACATAATCTATTGTATTATGTATCTACTTAGCTAGGTTATGTATCTACTAGGATTAGACTATGCATCTACTATGTCTAGACTATGTATCTACTATGACTAGATTAGGTATCTACTAGGTAGATATAACTATGACTATGATCCTGGCATGCATGTGTTAACTCTCTTTCTTTTATATCCACGAATTCGTCATCATTTGGGTTACTATTTGACCCACGAATTCATTGTCATTTGGATGACGATTGATCCACAAATTCGACATCATTTGGATGACGATTGATCCACAAATTCGTCGTCATTTGGATAACGATTGATCCGCAAATCCGTCGTCATTTGGGTAATGATTTATCTGTGAATTCGCTACCATTTGGGTGACGATTGATTCACGACTTCGTCATCATTTGGGTAATTATTGATTTGTGAATTCGTCATCATTGCATTGTCATTCCTCCCACTGTGGCCAAAAATCGATACACATCTCCTATACCACTATAAATAACACCACATCTCTTAGGCAATTTGCCAACTTTTTCGATTGTGAGGGATGAGGCACGTAGTGCCGAATTGGCAATCTGTATTTTGGTTTTGCATGTCACATTCGAGTTCTAATGCCAGGTTTGAGACACGAAATGCCGAATTGGCAATCCATATTTTGGCTTTGTATGTTGCAATCGAATTCGAGGATGAGGCACAAAGTGCCGAATGGTTATCCTTTATTTGGTACTACCCCAAAGCATAATTTTTATAATATATATCTGTATTAATTATACGTTGGGGTCATACCGCGAGCATGCTCTGTTTTGGGGCTCTAGAAAGCTTTCTCGCATAGTTGATGTTTTGAGTACTATCACTTTATGTAAAAAATCGACCTATGCTTTGTCGTTTTATCTTTGCGTATTACTGGATCGAAAAATTTTGATCTTACTTTGGGGTAATACCGCGAGTATGATATGTTTTGGATCTCCGGAAGCCTTTCTCGTGTAGTTGATACTTTGATGTACTACTATATCAAAAAATTTATCATGTTTTTGCATATATATCTCTTTACATACTACCAAATCAAAAAAAATCGAAAAATTGTTCTTACTACTTTTTTATCCTCGGAAAAATCGATCATTCTTTGACATACCATTTTTTTAGTGAAACTATGTAGTTCCACTTATCTCGGTCAAAATTATTTTTGGATTTGAATTTTTCCTACACTTATTGTAAGAGGCGTCAAAAAAATTTCTCTCTTACCTAAGATAATGGTTAGTTGAATGTAGCAGTATGACTCCTGCCAGACGTATGCTACTTAACTATATCATTGGTCTATCTTTCGAAGAAAATGACAATCAATACATTAAACGAATTTTTTGTTTATTACACTTTGGGTCGTTACTTTTTACAAATAATTTTTTTGGTATACTATTCAATCAATTCAATTTTTTCAGTACATACAAAGTAAGAAAGGCGCTAACCAATGTAATCTTGATGCCTTCTCATATATATGCTTGAAGCCAGAGAATAAATGCATAATTTTGTGATTGCTATGTTTGATCTCTTATTTTTTCCCGACCATTTATATATATTGCAGAGGTCTAATATACAGTACATTAGCAAAAGTTTCGGACACCCTAAATACATCATTTACGCAAAAACATACATAATAATGGTACAGAAAATTTATGTTATTTTATAGCTTAGCTTTCAGTGATTATTTATATAGAATCTTATGTTACTACATTTTCTAAAACTCGAGCAATTAAAAATAAAAGAAATACAATCATTTTTGGAAAGAAAAAAATTTGACATGGAAATTTTTAAAAACCTACATATTAACATATTGTGAGATTTTCAGATATGATGATTTGATTTTATCTGATTCTTGAGAAAAAAAATCTTTGGATAGTATTTTTTAATCAATTTTTTAAAAATTTGATAAAATTTTAAAATCATTTTTAATAGTAAAATTATATTATATTTTTTTCTTTTCAAAAATGATCAGAGTTTGTTTTTTTATTATTATTTGAGCTGTATAAAAAAGCTGGGAATCTAAAATTTTATATTTAAGTACATGAATAAGGATCCAAATAATATAAAATTTTTCGCATAATTGTTATGTATGTTTTTGCATAATTAATGTATTTGGGGTGTCTGAAACTTTTGCTAAGGTAAATAAGAATCTATTTTAATGCTGATATTGTTATATTGCTATATTAATTATAAGAACACAAACAGAATGAGTAAATATATTATCATTCTGCATATAATTAGATATTTAGAAGTAATATTTTAACATTTTAAAAAAAGTATGGATTTTATGTTATACCTTTAAAATTGATTCTTGTTTAAAATTCATTAAGGATTTTTTGATTTTAAATTAATATCAAAGTGACTCAAATTTTTTGAATAAAGGAAAGAATTATTTTGCCACTGCATAAGAATGACCAATAAGAATTATGATGATAATAATTGAAAAATAATGGCAGTAGTAGCTTTGCAATTAAGCAAATTTATTTTAATATCATCCAATAAATTGAACCAATTAAATCATAAAGATTAAGAAATGAACTACAAAAAATTAGCCAATCATACAAACTTCTGCCTATGAGATATATACAACTGTTTACAAATGTGTAACAAATGATTTTCGGGAGGTGTTATTTTACAAGATTAATATCATGTATTATATAAATTAAATATCTTTTGCAGAGTCTTAAATGGATTTCAAATGAAAAACAACCATGTATTAAAGAAATAACAGGATATTCCATGGAATCAGTATTATTTTTTAAAAATAGTCCATTGGCTTAATGATTGAAAAAAATCATGTAACTTAGGAGAAAATAATTCATTTATTTTCTAAAGTTATTATTAATAATAGTATAATCAATCCTCAAGATTTTGAAATCAATAAACTTCCTGATTACAACAACATTTCCAGTTGAAAATGAAAAATATATCTGTTGGAAATGTAGATACGAAAATCCTAGAATCACCCAACTTCCTTAACTGAAGACAGCCAGAAGCAAATTACACAAAAAAAGTGACCAGTTTTGTGGTGTGTTTCTTTATTTAAAATTTTATTTATTTAAAAAAAATTTTTTTTACTGAATTTTTATTTTATTTTAGGAGATCACTATAATTCTCAAGTTTGACAAATCTAATAAAGGAAGAAGATCTGACATAATCAAAACTGTTTGTCAGAATTTTTTGACTCACTAATTTGATAGTGAAAATGATTAAGAACTATAAAAAATATTATAACTATGGCCAATTTTTAAATCACTTAATGGTGAATATTATCATGGACATACCAGTTCCCAACTTAATTGATGAATCAAAATATGAATGATAAGATTAAAGGGAAACAAATGTTTATAGACACAATCAATTTCATTCTGAATTATTTATTACAGCATTTTAAAATATGAGGATATTAGATAGATATATTTGTTTTATTAAATAGCAAACAATATACCATTTTCTACATCTTGTTATTTTTATTGTAGAAGAAAATTGGTACCCTCTTTTTTACAGTAGTCATACTAGCACTGATAGCATAACAAACTTGGTGAATTATATATCTCCTCCACCTCCTAGTAGTTTTTCTTCTCCTACTTTTAATTTGCCTAATTCTTCTCCTGGTAGTTCACAACCTCCTCCTTTTAGTGATCCTCATTCTCCATCTCCTGCAAAACCACCTGTTCTTTTTGCTTCTCCTCCTTCTAATTCACCATCTTATAATCCAACTTATAAGATTTTTTACAATGAAAAAACTATGACAATCAAACTATCCATACCTGGGAATCAAAAGTTAAAACTATATGTATATAGTAACTTCACAACTAAAATTATGATATTAGGAAATTTTAAATATTATATATTTGTAAGTATTTAATTTCAAGCTTTATAAATTTATCAATAATAAATTAGATTTTCTAACAACAATTATTATTTTTTATATTAGAATTTAACTAATGAAATAGAAAAATAATATATCCAAATTAGATATAAAGCTAAAAATTAGGAACAGTAAAAAAAATCTGATTCACATACACCAATGCAGCACAATATTTAAATAATATGTATGATAATTAATAAATGAATAAATAAATAAAACATGCAAAAATTAAAATTTATTTGTTGAAATAAGATCTAATATATAATCTATTTCTAAATCACCTTGTTTAAGATTAAAAGCTTCCTAAAGACAATTACAGCATCTTTAGATGAAACTTTAGGCATAGTGTTACTCTCAACAACAACTTCTTCTTGAAGGAGACAATTATTTCTTCTGTTACTATTTCATTATTTATTTGAAAATCATCAATGGTAATATATTTTTCAGCTTCTAATGGAGTGGCAAATGATAATTGATTGATGAAATTATTAACATCATTTCTTTCTTTATTTGAAATCTCTTTGACAATTGATAATTGTAGTTGATACCACATTATCAAAAGCCTTCATAACAAATTTATCACATTCATTATATCAATGGTTTTGATAAAGATATAGCAGGAATAGGGTTTTGTGAAGATGTAAGACTAAGATATAAATATTGCTTATTTTTTTTTTTTGGAGATAATAGGGGGTTGCGTTTGTACAAACATTTTTTTTTCGTTTTTTAAATGGGGAGGATCAGTGAAATCTTAATGTAACATACTTGTTGAATCATCAATGGAATATGGATGTATGGATGAAATAAGAGGAACAAATTTGATAGCACTAAAAAATTATTTCTTCAATAATAACAAACAATGAAATAATATTTAAAAGAACTCTGTATTATACACTTAATTCGTGATCCTTTTAAGAAGGAATGTAACACAACATTTGTTAATAATAATACCCATAATCTCAGCACATT